AGATCAGCTGCGCACACGCACACACACACACACACACACACACACACACAGATGTCAGCAGATGTTTTGAAGCTGAATGTGTTTTTCAGCATAAATCAGCGTTTTAAAGCTATTTGTGGCATCAGATGATCATCAACATCATCTGATACTCCTGGCCTTCAGAAGTCAGCGCAGACAGGAAGTGATGAGGAGCGTGTGAGAGAAACATCATCAGCACACACCAGTGAGTCTGTGTCACCCGCTTGTGATGCCTGATAAACACTGCTGAGTGTGTGTGTGTGTGTGTGTGTGTGTTCTCACCCCTCCGCTGACGGGTCCATAACTGTGTCCTGAACTATCAGGCTCCTCCAGGTAGATTGTGAAGAAATCCGGCCTACAGCAGCAGAAACACACACACACACAGCGAGACTGAGTCTGAGTGACGAACCGCCAGCTGACCTCGGATGCAGATTCAGCGTTTTCACATCTGTGTATCGTTTGCTTTGCTGTCATATTTATGAATGAGTTTGAGTGGAAATTCACAGCTGCATATCTGCCACTGGGCTCAGAAAAAATAACCTTGTTTCACCTTTGAATGAAATTGAATTTTCTGACCCCCATGGACAGATATTTTTTTCTGGTTTCAAGGGGTACTTTTATAACTTTAGCTAGTGTATAATGTTGCTGTTTGAGCATAAATAACGTCTGCAAATTACGACGCTCAAAGTTCAATGCAAAAGGAGATATTTTCTTTTACAGAATTCGCTTTTTAAGGCCTACAACACACGGCTGGTAGGGACTACAACCAGCTTCTTCCTGGGTTGGTGACATCACAAACCCTAAAATTTACATAAACCCCGCCCCCGGGTCATGTTGGGCTGCTTTAGAGAAGAGAAGGAGCTGTTGTAGTAGAGTGTTGTTGCCATGCCGTCGAAACACTGTTATTTTCACCCCGATTCTTTGTTCGACCTTCCTAGGCACGCTGTACTTAAGGAACAATGGTTAAAATTTATTTTTAACTTAGTTCCTGAAATTTCTAATCCCAATACAGCTCTCTGTGCTGCACGTTTCATGGAGGACAGCTTCCTCAATCTACGCGAGTTCATTGCCGGATTCGCACAAAGGCTTGTCCTGAACGATAGAGCAGTTCCCGCTTTAAAAGCAGAAGCTGTTGTTTATGGGCCACAGCCTGTAAGTGTGTTTGATTCTTTGCTGATGTGTTTTCCATTAATAGTTTCTATTATTTTATGTTGTAGCTAGGACGTAACCGAATGGCAACGCT